TTACAATATACAATGTTTGCTAGTGCCCAAATTCTAGGAGCAGTAGCTGGAAGGAAGCCATTACCCACTGAGGAGAAAGAACTTCTGACATATCACTCAGCTGACACACTGTAAGGCATCGATGATGCCGGCCATCTGTTTCATTTTCTTTCACTGCCAGAGTATCATAAATTATCTTCTGCAGCAATCAAGTTCTACCCCTTTCTGTAGCAAGTGTCTATGGTGGAAGAAATACATCAAGCTAAACAAAGTTGGAGATATCCAACTGTCTAGGTCACCCAAGTGATGGAAACAGTAGCGAAGGAAGTTTAGGTGGATCTTGGAAGCCAAACTGGATTTCTTAAGAACTTTAAATGAAGCAGCACCATTGAATTCAACTTAAAAGAATATCTCAAAACGTGCAAAGACAAGAATATAGTCTTAGAACTATTACATATTGGAGTTGGAAGGTAGACATAGGAAGCATTATTGTTCCTTATTCTCACCTTTCCTATGTTCATGTCCCTTGACATGATTTTTCATTTTTCCCCCTAGAGGCAGAATCCACCTCTTTGATTCTAGTCTTAACCACATGGCATGCTTTGATCAAAAGAATGTAGGTAAAAGGGACAGTGACGCAGTTTTGAGCTCAGGCATTAATGGTTATTGAATGTTTCTACCCACCCATTTGCACTTTCTGCCCTCACCATGAGCGGATCCCCCCTTGGGTTACCCAGTGGCCCAAGAAGGATGAAAATCACATTAAGCATTAGAACCGGATCCTACCTAGAACACAGACATGTCAAGGCTAGATCAGCTGAACCCTAGTCAATCTGCAAATTTATGAGTTAGGATGATGATAATTTAAGTCAGAAAATTTGATGTGGCTTGCTATATAGGATTATCATGGCTACAGTTGATTATAGCTCTCATAGATCACTTCTAAAGGGGAAGGAATGTTTCTATGTTTCAGCTTTGCATAGTGACGACCACACAATAGGCACTTATATTTGTTGCATTGTATTTAACCTAATGCAACAGCTTATTCTCAGATGAGGATTCCTCTGGGTTTACAGAGGACTGACTTATTGTCTATGGAAATGTAGAATTGGATTTCCCTATCCCCCAAGCTAGGGAACAATGACCTTAAAAAAGTAGGGCTTCTTGGCCTTGTCACTATTGACATTTGGGGCCATCTCTAATCTCTACACACTAGATCCCAGATATGTAAAAACCGAAAATGTCTTCAGACATTGCCAGATATACCAAGTAGAGCAAAATTGTCCATAGTTGGGAATCAATGAGCAATTACAACACTTTTGACTACATAATTTTTAACTGCTAAAACATATACTTTAAAGAATGCAGACTGGATAAAATATAAGGGTAACTGATATCTTACTCATATAAGTTTTGTTACAAGTATTTAAGACACTGGAAATCATACTTATGAGTTAACTAAAGACCAATGTGGAACCTAAATTAACCACCTTCATCAACTACAGAATGGAGCACAAGGCAATTCTTTGTAGTTAAAACGATTTTAGCAATAGAATTTTAGATGCTCATTCTTATGGATCCATTCTGTCTTCCTGGTATTCTGGTCATTTTTACCATTTTCCTTATTACAGCTCAAGAAAAAGTCTGCAGGGCCAGGCCAGGGAATAAGAAAATCCCTTTTCTTTGTTAAGATTTTCCTGATTCTTGATCAAGACTTGAACGCTCTCTTGGCTCATTCATCCCTACTGGCTATCTGATGGCACTGATTTCCACCTAGCATTGGGGCTGCACTTATCTCCGCACACGATGGAACTCATTAGCTCATCATATACATTTCCTATCCTATTAGCCACTGATACCTTCTGTAACCGTGCTTCTTCTATCTACCCATTAGAATTTCGAGGACTACTTCCATAACATACAGATGCTTAGCCTCAAGCCAGACCATTTAAATTTAACTTCCTGGAAATAAAGCTGAACACTAGTCATTTTAAAAAAAATATCCCCTTGTAATTTCATTGAGCAGGCAGGGTTGACAACTAGTGTTTTAAAACATACATCATATGAGGTCACATTTAGTTAAAGAACCAGTCACATCAAGACCACCACCCAAAGCTCTTACCACGACCCATAGGGTCCTACAAGATCTAGCCCCTGGCTATCCCTCTCTTATCTCTAACCACGCCCCCAACCCTCTCTGCTCAGCCACACTGCTCTCCCTGTTAACCCTGACATGCTTCAAGTAGGACCTTTGCCTCAGGATCTCTGCTTTTTACATCTCTTGTCCTAGAATATTCTTTCCCAGATGTTCACAGGGTCCAAAACCTGAGCTCATCCAGGTGATTCCTCAGATACCCATTTGCCAAGATGCTTTCCCTGACCTCTCTACAGAAAAGAGCAACCTCATCAGCATCTGTTGTTTCTTGCCTTTTTAATCATCACCACTCTCACTGGCCTGAGATGGTATCTCAGTCTGCTTTCTATTTGCATTTCTCTGATGATCATTCGGGAGGTAAATTAGTTCAACCACTGTGGAACACAGTGTGGTGATTCCTCAAATATCTAGAAGCAGAAATACCATTTGACCCAGCAATCCCATTACTGGGTATATATCCAAAGAAATATAAATAATTCTATTACAAAGATACATGCATGCTTATGTTCATTGTGGCATTATTCACAGTAGCACATACATGGAATCAACAAAAATGCCCATCAATGACAGACTGAATAAGGAAAATGTGGTACATATACACCATAAAATACTATGCAGCCATAAAAAGGAATGAGATCATGTCTTGTGCAAGAACATGGATGGAGCTGGAAGCCATTATCCTCAGCAAACTAAGGCAGGAACAGAAAACCAAACACTGCATGTTCTCACTTGTAAGTGGGAGCTGAACAATGAGAACACATGGACACAGGGAGGGGAGCAACACATATTGGGACCAGTCAGGAATGGGGTCGGGGTAGGGAGAGCATTGGGAAAAATATCTAATGCAAGCTGGGCTTATTACCTAGGTGATGGGTTGATACGTGCAGCAAACCACCATGGCACACGTTTACCTATGTAACAAACCTGCACATCCTGCACATGTACCCCAGAACTTAAAATTAAAATTAATGAAAGAAAAGAGCACCTTTTAACTCTCTATCCCCCAAACTTCGCTGTGTTTCTTCAGAGCACTTATTAAAATATGACTTAGATAAATGTGTATATTTGTTCATTTTCTCCCTCCTCATGAAGGCAGGGACTGAACATGTTTTGGTTCACTTCAATACATCCAGCATCTGTATCAGTGCCCAGAATCTAGAAAGAACTCATAAAACATTTGCTGAAAGATTTTAACAAATAAGAACTACAAAATATGTTTATGTTTATTCCAATTCAGGCACTGGATTAGGTGCTTTATAAATGATTACCTCATTTCTTCTTCAGAGGAAGTCTTGTTGTTCTTAATTAAGAAACTTGAGAATGAAAAAATTAAGAAAAACACACAAAGTCAAATACATAATAAGTTCTAACATCATAATTAGAACCCAGGATTTTTTCATTCTTACACTCCTTTATCCCTCTAACACAACAGCCCTTCTACTTGGGGTGTTTTCTTGGACAGAGTATAGAGGGGAAAAACTCAGGGCATTATGCAGTTTGGGTTTGTAATGGCCACCATAAAGCTCTGACTGTGAGCAAAACAATGAATCTTCTTTGACCCTAGTTTTCTTGCCTGTAAAATGACTGGTTTGAGCAACATCATATTTAAGAACCCTGCAGAGCTTGAGAATTCTACTGTAGACAAAACTGGGCTTGCTCTCTATGGCCATAGACTACAGAGCCACCAGGGAAAAGATGACCAAGATTCACATTCAGGTCACCATGAAAATTCCATTTCTAACAAATGCAACTTTCTGAAAGGTAGCCAGGCTTCTGTAAGGGGTGGTCAGTCTCTACAGCTGTGAGGTTCAATCTTGTCTTCAGGGAATAGCCTGAAGCGCCTTCTTCCTTGCACTGGGGTTGAACTTGAAAACTTCTGAGTTTTAGTATATACATACATATATAGTATATACATACAGATTCTGTGATATTCTAGTTTTCGTGGACATTATGTTTGTTAAATAATTATGACTCTGCTTTGCCAGCCTGTCACAGCATAGAGAAACGACCTGTCTCTATATTGTCCTGAAATACAGGCCTCAGCAAACAATATGGAGTCATGGACCACAGGCATCCTGTGTTCTGCCATTGCAGGGGAGTAATTACCACAATGATCCTTCATTCCAGACTCTTCCTGGGCCAATCAGCATCCCTCATGGGGAGAGGGCAACCAATCAGCATTCAGATACTCCGAAGAGCAAACTGACAGCTTGGATCCCAGCAGTTGGTTTGATTATCCCCTTAGAGAGAGTGTGAAGCTGAAGTCTCTCATGGAAAATGAGTCAAGGTGGGAGAAAATTCCAAGTTGTTTATAAGTGAGAGCTTCATCTTTAAACAGCTTTGAGAGGAAGCCTGTCACTAAGGACTGAACTGAATTTTCCATTCCAAGACTTAATTGTCTTTAGGGCTTAACAGTCTTTCCTGCTGCTGCTATTTCCAGAAATAACCAAAATGCCTACAGAGTGATGTCAATGGCACCAGTGATCAGATAACAGCCTGCACTATGAAGTAACAGATGAAGCTTTTCTGTTAAATATAAAACAAACTGTAGAAACCCTGAATACTTTTCTTTTGAATCAGCATGAAATGTATATATATATATATATATATATATATATAACTTTTGCTCTAATTTTGCCTTGAATTGTTATTCTTTGGGCTAGGGTTTATAACCTCTTCGAGTCTACTCGAAAGTGGTGAAATTTAAATGATAATGTCTTCTGTTCTCCAGAAATGCTGTTAGAAGCAAACTATAGCTTCAAAGAATTATTTCCCAAAGGCAAAATTGCTGCTGACACTATTTAAGAAATACTACTTAGGTTTGGCTCAGCAGGGTTAAGTAGACACAAAGAAAGGGAATATTTACCCAGCTCCAAAGGGACAGAAGGAAACAGTACATCAGCACAGTTTTGTCTGTGGAATTCAGAGCACAGGTTGGTGCTTCGTATCAAAAATCTCATCCATGCATCAGTTCTTCAATCCGCCTTCTCTATTACTTTCCATAACTCTAATAAAGAGAGGAAATTTAGTCGCATGTCACATGACGTCTTGACACACTTACATTGCTATCATTTCCTTTCTGAACCATTAAGCAAGTATTTTGACTTTTCCTTCTCTGGATGTATTAGTTTTCCTGTGCTGCTGTAACAGAACACCATATACTTAGTGGCTTAAAACAATACAAATTTATAATCTCATAGTTCTGTAGATCAGAAGTTGGTATGACTCTCACCAGGCTAAAACCAAGGTGCTGTCAGGTCTGTGTTTCATTTTAGAGGGTCTAGGGGAGAATCTGTTTCCTTGCTCATTTAGGTTATAGGCAGAATTCATTTCCTTTCAATGTGGGACTGGGGTCTCCATCTTCTTAATGACTGACAGCTGAGGTCCATTCCCAGCTTGTAGATGTTGCCTATGTGTCTTGGCTTGTTACCCCTTCCTACACATGCAAAGCCAGCAATGGCTGGTAGATCCGTTGTAACCTGGGTTATGAGAATAATACTAAAGTAGTACTCACATTGGATTAGAGGACCCTCTAGGGAAAGAGGAGACTTTTAGACAGGGAGACTTCATTACCACTGGCAGTAAAAGGCCCTTAATTTACATGAGCTAGTCAAATAGTCCTTGTGGAAACTCTAGGATTTGCAGTACAGATGTGTCTCAGGTCAAGGTCAGATCTATCCTATTTCAGTCTAGGCAGAAGTGCAATAAAAATAGAATAAATATGGGAGTTTAAAAAAAGCTACATTCAGCTAGATCTTTACAGACAACCTATTTTTATGCCATATGTATATTAGCATTATCAGGAGAAATGCACTTTTAGATATAACATTATTTGTGAACACTAAAAGCTTTCATCAAAATATTTCCAATGACTTTGGAAATTTGTTGGTAAGGAGAAGTATATGAACTATATTTGAACCTGAAGTTAACTTTATTTGAATTCCCATTTTCTTGTTTTAGTCAACAAAATGTTCCAGAGTTTCCAGCAAATGCCTTGTCATTATTGATTTTGAAGTAGAAAATGAATGTGTAAAAACTATAATTCTGGAAGAATGGTATATGTATATATGTGTGTGTATATATATGTGTGTATATATATATGTGTGTATATATATGTATGTGTACATATATATATGTATGTGTACATATATATATGTATGTGTACATATATATATGTATGTGTACATATATATATATGTATGTGTACATATATATATGTATGTGTACATATATATATATGTATGTGTACATATATACACACATACATATATATGTGTATGTATCTCACTTTTAGGGGCCTGCGGGGACTTAAGTTTACTTACAGGTCTAGAAGCAAAGAAAGGCAGATCTTGAGGACCTGTGTATATATATATATACATATACTACACACACACACAGGATGAGGCAGAGATAGACAAACTATATATAGGCCATATAGTATATGTACATATATATTCTAGATGCTGAGACTAATGCAAAGCTATTGATTCAGATTAGATTAAAACATAGGACATTAGTATGCAACTGTCCTTTAACTTTCAATTTTGTCCTAGCACATTGAAGTTAAACTTACCTTGCCTTTAAACAAACTAAAGGAAATAAAGATGAATACCCTGTGAGGCTTACATTGACCACTGAGAAAAGAGCAGAGTTCCCACTCCTTCACATGTTGAGGGCCCTAGACTCTTAGACTAAGATTCGTAAATTGTTAAATAGACAGTGCCTTAGAAATCACATAGTTGGACCCATTTGTTTTCTATGGTAACACATAGCTCTTTTCCATTCCTGCTTTGCATCACTTATTCTACACTAAGGAGGACAACTATCCATCAATGATTAATGAACTTCAAAGATATTCATTAGGTTGTATTTTCTAGGGTATAGAGCTTTGGCAGAAACAGTTTATAATCTTACAGTTCTCTAGATCAGAAGTTAGTATGAATCTCACCAGGCTAAATCCAAAGTGCTGGCAGGGCTGTATTTCATTTTAGAGGGTCCAGGGGAGAATGTGTTTCCTTGCTCATAAGCTTTGGTGGGGGAAAGTCTTTTGGGGCACTTTCATTCATGAGGTTGGAGTAACAAACCAATTAAGTTTGCCCAGCCCTGCTCTCTTGTTCTCCTGTGGCAAGATTAGAAAGCTCTACTTCTGCTTTGGAGTTGTTTAGATCTGAGAAGACTTACGGACTAGGAAACTCTCAACATTGGGAAATATTATCCCGAGTTCTGAGTCTCCTTCTCTTGGTCTTGTTTTGTCTCATAGAAAGCTGTGGTCTTCCTAGAAGAATGACCCTAGAAGGATTATTCCTTGACACTAGAGTGGTAGAACCAGAGGATTGAGCAACAACGTGAACTTGGGGGATGGCCACCCGCTGGCCCTTATACTTGCTTTGCTTCCAGGTTGGGCCAGCCTTTAGTGTGTTTATTACTCAGGATTCTCCAGAGACGCAAAATAGTGGAATGAATACACCTCCTTGTAGGTCACACATTGTATCTCACTTTTAGGGGCCTGCTGGGACTTAAGTCTACTTACAGGTCTAGAGGCAAAGAAAGGCAGGTCCTGAAGAGAATCAGCATTGTTTTGTATGGCAGGTTCCTGAGGAGAGACAGTTTTCTCAGACAATGCAGGGTAAACCTCCACAGGCAAGCTAGAAAGGCTATACAACTGGGATTAGGCCACTTCTGCTGGGGGTGGAGAGGGATATTTTGCCTAGGGTGGAGAATCCCTTGTCATGCTGCCCTCATCACTCCATTTAAAATTATTTCAAAATTTTTCTTGATGATTTCTCAATAAATTTAACAGACCCTTCGAAAACATCCCTGCTATTCTTAGTGGTAGTGGATACAACCGGCCAACATGCTTTCTTGCTAATTTCTGTCTTTGACAGCACCGGTAAAGAATTTAGGGGCTTGATGTCCCCAGCTTGATCAGGGTCTTCTCACATGTACCCATTTCAACTTATAAGAACCCATTATTTCCCATCAATGCCCTCACTTTAAACAGTTGGCACCCTGTCAGGCTGTGAGTTCAACTTATACTGTAATTAAGTCAGTTGCAGGATGAGGTTCTGCATTAGATTTTCAGCAATTTCAGCCCTGTGGAAACAGGAGAAAACAGTCTCCTTCAGGACACACGTAGAAGATCTTAGGTCTTTTATGCAGCACTTAAACTGGAAATTCAAATTCCTGAGCTCATCCTTATCTATCACCACTTTGTCTAGTGACATTAGCAGCAATCAACCAGTGTCACTGTTTCATTTATTTTCCAAAAATATTGAAAAGTATCATATAGGGTCATGTAGCTCCTTGCTTCTTTTAAGTGATTATTAGGAGTAAGAATATTTTGTATATCTCTGTAAAAGTTAAGGCCATGGGATATCAGTTCTCTCTGTATTACTGGAAATAGAGTCATTGGCATCTTTAAATCTAATCAAAGAGCCGATTCCAAAAACACCAGAATCAATTCAGAAAAACTCATCTTTAAAATTCCCTAGAATCATTTTTGGTACCAAAATCTTTTTAGTCAGGGTTCTCCAGAGAAACAGAACTAGTACCAGATACATATCACCCTTCCTTTGACATTAAGCTTCATTTTACAAATGTAGAAACTGAGATTCAGAAATACAGGTTTATTTATTGATAGTCACCTTGCTGGCTCAAGGCAGAGCTAGCAATAGGGCTCAGAGAGATGTTATATACTGCTCTTCTCATCATACACTGTTGAACGAAGAAATCATTGAATATACTTCAATTACTTGGCATGTCCAGGAAATAGTAATTCTGTTTAACTAAGGAATAGACAATTTAGTAGGTAGTATGACCCAGTCCTCTGATGCCAATGCTCAGTCTTGGAACGAAAATAACTTTTGGGAGCACCTAACCAGGTTGGGAGATCTCTCACCCCCGTGCTTTCAGAAACATAGCCAACCAAGAATCTTCAGTTGAGAAAGGAGACCATCCATCCATTATCGTATCAGTACACTTGAAAGACTTCTCACAAAGGCAGCTGCTGACAACTTAAGCTAAACAGAATAAGTCCAAGCAGGAAAATTAAAAAACCTTTTCCCCAAACTTCATAAAAGAAAAAACTCCAGCAATGCAATAGAAATAATAGCTGTTTCCAAAATATCATTTTGATGCAAAACTAAGAGCTAGAAAAGGATCCGAAAAGTAAGAATTGACCCATGTTTATGAAACTAATAACTGAGAGAAAATGTGAACTTCTAAACAGCTCTGGAGCCTTCGGTTGGCTAACCAAACTAAAAGTAAAATGAGGCTGTTATGAAAAATCGTAAAACCTGTTGGAGCTGAATGCTCAGCAAATGGGTTAAAAACTTTGTTGGCCAAAGCTGTCCTCCTGTCACCAAGGCTTTGGGTTTTATTTGCTAGAGGCCCCACAGTTAGTGATTTTACATTTATAAAGCAGAGAGATCACTGAATTTAGGCTCCAATAGACAAGAATTTCTAAACTGGTCTTATCCAGCCACAGGGCCTTTGCACAGAAAATATCTCTCTTCCTAAATGTGTACATGTCTCCTACCCATTTTGGCCTAAACGCACAGGTAACTCCAGAGAGATGATGCCAACCTCCTTATGAAAATAGCTTCCCTCCATCGCACACTCTATCTTGTGATCTTTCGTTTTCTTCATAGCATCACATCAGTTATTCTTGGGTGTCTGGAATTGAATTTGTTGCTTATTGTATACAAGTCTCTTAACCTCTCTCAACCTCCCTTAGTTTTCTCATCAGAAATAATGTAACATTTCCTACTGGACAAAGTTTTCACACAGATTAGATGATAGTGTGTTTTAAGCACTTACATCTGGTATGGGAATACAGTGAGAACTCAAAGGTCTTAGCTGTTTCTATTGCCATAATCTGAAATTCTTTCTAAATTTACTTTATGATATTAATCTCCCCTGCCTACTCCCATACCAATTACAGTAGGAGAAGTGGGACAGGACTGTTCTTCTTCACAAATGTATCCCTAGCCCCTAGAGAAGTGTCTGGCACATCACAGATACTCCAATGATTTGCTGAATGAATCAATCGGTAACCAAGGGCAAGTCCTGAATTATTTGAGCCTCAGTTTTGCCATCTGTAAAAGAGAGATAATGGCTCCCAACCCATAGGTTATGAAGAATCAAATGAGATTTATATCCCTGCTTCTCCAGCTGGAACACATGTGCCCCAGGGAATAATTTGGAATACCAAGAGTATGTAAAGTTAAATTAAACACATAGCATAGTTCATCAGAGGTTTGATTTTGCCAGAAGATTCAGGGGAAACAACAGTTTAGAATTTTTATACTTCTAATAGGATACTTTTAAATTATTAATTTGTTATTTTGCTCTTTCTGTATTTTTTCCTCTGCTCCACTATAAGAGGACAGTTTAGCATTTTTATCCCTTTCCCTGAAGGGCATGTGTATTGCTGGGTGAAAGCAGCATTTTGCTTTTGTTCTCAAAACAAACAAACAAACAAAACAAACAAACAAAAAAGGAATGCTGAGTGTGATTATGCTAACTTTAAGGGATCAGAGGGGAAGAAGAAAGAGCTGAATGCCTAGGCAAAGAGGATAGACGTGAGGAGGGAAGAAAGGTTTCCCCATGAAATGAAAGGGATTCTTTTTGATGGGGTGAAGACAGTTAAGGAATAGAGGCTTATAAAGAATAACTGATACCAGAAGGACTCTCCAAGGTGGAAAATAGAAGATTTGGGGACCTTTAGACAGCTCCAAGAGACATGCAGCCTCAATTAGGAGACATGGAGCCTCAATCAAGAGACATGGAGCCTCAATCATGAGACACGGAGCCTCAATCAAGAGACACGGAGCCTCAATCAAGAGACACGGAGCCTCAATCATGAGACACGGAGCCTCAATCAAGAGACACGGAGCCTCAATCATGAGACACGGAGCCTCAATCAAGAGACACAGAGTCTAAATCATGAGACATGAAGACTCAATCAAGAGACACAGAGCCTCAATCATGAGACATGGAGCCTCAATCATGACTGAGACTAAATTTCCCAATAGCCAGGCAAACTAGGCACTCGGAGGAATTGAAAACTAGTTTAGAGAAATAAATGTGTAATTTCTTATGAAGTCGGACAATAAAAATCACTCTGGTATGTTGCCTTGGAAGGCTTAGTCAAATTCTTGCACAATTGGCAAAATACTGTTTTCCATGCCAGCTTACTTTTCTGTTTAATAATTTTAGCTTTTTAGGTTCAGAGGTTACATGTGCAGGTTTGTTACCTGAGTGTATTGCAAGATTCTGAGGTTTGAAGTACAACTGATCTTGTCACCCTGGTACTAAACACAGTACCGTATAGTTTTTCAGCCCTTACCCTTCCTCCTCCCTCCCTGTTCTAATATTTCCCAGTTTCTATTGTTTCCATCTTTATGTCCATGAGTACACAATGTTTAGCTCTCACTTACAAGCGAGAACATGCAGTATTTGGTTTTCTGTTCCCATGTTAATTTGCTCAGAATAATGGCCTCCAACTGTCTTCATGTTGCTTCAAAGGACATATTGTTGTTCATGGCTATGTAATATTCTATGTGCATGGGTAGCACATTTTCTTTATCCAGTCCACCATTGATGGGCATCTAGGTTGATGGCATGTCTTTACTACTGTGAATATTGCTGTGATGAACATGCAAATGCATGTGTGTTTTTGGTAAAGCAACTTATTTTATTTTGGATATATACTCAGTAACGGGATGACTGGTTCAAAGAGTAGTTACAAGTTCTTTGAGAAATCTGCAAACTGCTTTCTATGTGGCTGAACACTACCACCAACAGTGGATGAACATTTCCTTTTCTCCTCAGCCTTACCAGTATCTGCTGTTTGACTTTTTAATGATAGCTATTCTGACTGATGTGAGATGGTATCTCATTGTAGTTTTGATTTGCATTTCCTTAATGATTAGTGACGTGGGGCATTTTTCCATGTTTATTGGCAGATTGTATGTCTTCTTTTGAGAAGTGTCTATTCATGTATTTTATTTATTTTTAAAGGGGCTATTTGTTTTGTGCTTGTTCAGTTGTTATGTTCCTTATAGATTCTGGATATTGGTCCCTTGTTGGATGCATAGTTTGCAAATATCTTCTCCCATCCTGTAGGTTTTCTCCTTATTATATTGATAGTTTCTTCTGATGTGCAGAAGCTCCTTAGTTCAATTAGGTCCTACTTGTCAATTTTTGTTTTTGTTGCAATTGCTTGTGAGGCCGGCCTACTTTTTGTTGTTCTTGTGAGTGTGTGTATGAGGAAGAACATGTGCAAACCCAAAGAACCAGCAAGTTAATATGCAGTGACTGATTAGAAAATACACTTTAGAGTTCAAGGCAGCCAGTGGCTTCAGCCCCAACAGCATATCACAGTGAACAAGACAAGCCAGTTCCCTGAAGACAGATTAAGCTGATAACGATGGCAGTGACAGATTACAGGTATTCCCCCCCGAGTGGCCACTTTGGATTTCTTGATACCCACAATCTAGTTTGACATGTATTCTTACTGCATGAACCAAACCCTTAACATGAATTTATAAAAAATGTGTAGCACTCCTGGTAAAATAAGGCCTCTACCCTTT